TAAGTGCATCTACCACTTCACCTGGCAGTTCATTCCACTTAAGAACCACCTCCTGTTTGGGGGAAAAAGTCGCCCCTCAAATCCCTTTTAAATCTTTCTCCTCTTCACCTTAAAAATATGCCCTCTAGTTTTGAACTTCCCCACCCTAGGGAAAGACCTTTTGCTATTCACCATATTTATGCCCCTCATGATTTTATAAATCTCTATAAGGTAACCTCTCAACCTCCTATGCTCCAATGGAAAAAAAAAAGCCCAGCCAATCCAGCCTCTCCTTATAACTCCAACCCTCCATTCCTGGCAACATCCTGGTGAATCTTTTCTGAACCCTCCAATTTAATAATATCCTTCCTGTAGCAGGGCAACTAGAACTGTGCATAGTATGCCAAAAGTAGCCTCACCAATGTCCTGTACAACCTGAACATGATGTCCCATCTCCTGTACACCTAGTAGTCTGAACAGTGAAGGCAAGCATGCTAAATTCTTTCTTAACCACGCTGTCTTCCTGTGACACAGCTCTCGAAGAACGGTGTACCTGAATCTCTGTTCTACAACAGTACCCAGGATTCTACCATTAACTGTATAAGTCCTGCACTTAATTGTTCTACCAAACTGCAATACCTCGCATTTATACAACTTAAACTCCGTCTGCCACTCCTCAGCACGGCTGATTTGATAATCCTCAACTACACTTTCCTGCCATTTTCCCCATAACCCTTGATTCCTTTACTGATTTAAAAATATGTTTACCTCAGCCTTGAATATACTTAACAGCTCAGGCTCTACAACCTTCTGCTGAAAATAATTTAAGATTTGCTGTCTTCCTTTTGAGAAGAAATTCCTCCTCATCTGTGACTTAAATGCGTGAGCTCTTACTCTGAGAGAATGCCCTCTGGCCCGAGACAAAGCGAAACTCCCTTTCTGTATCTTCTCTATCAAACCCCCGAAGAATCTTGTACGCTTCATTAAGGTTGTTTTCATTCCAAACTTCAATGAGTATGAGGCCAACCTATACTATCGCTCCTTTTATAAGAAAATCCCTCCGTACTTGGGATCAAACTAGCGAGCTTTCTCTGGACTTCCTCCAATGCAATTATACCTTTTCTTATATAGAAACTGTTCATAGTATTCCGGATGCGCTCTGACTAATGCTTGTCTAATTTTAACTAGATTTCCCTATTTTTTTTATCCACATTCCCTTTGAAATAAAGACCAACATTTGATTTGCCTTCCTTATTACCTGCTGGACTAGGATGCTAACATACTTGAGGACCCACCAGATCCCTTCATGCTGCAGCTTTAGGCAGTCTTTCCGAATTTACATAATATTTAACTCTTCTATTCATGCCAAGGTGTACAACTTCACACTTTCTCACATTATATCCCATCTGCCAATTTTTACCCACTGACTCAACCTGCCTGTATCCCATTGTAGACTTGTTTCATCTTCACTACTTGCCTTTCTGCCTTTTTTTGGTCATCTGCAGACTTGGTGGTAGTACATTCACTTGTGCCACCCGAGTCATTACTGTAAGTAATTGTGACATTATCACTGAACCCTGTGGCACTGCACTGGTTACAGATTGCCATCCTGAAAATGCCCCCTTTAGCCCAACCCTGTTTCTTCTATTAGTTAGACAATCCTCTGTTGGTGCTAAAAAGTATGTTCTCGTGAAACTGTTCTGAGATGTTATGAAACATGTCCAGTGGTAGATGGGACATGAGCTTGGGCTTTCTGGCTCTGAGGTAGGGGCACTACCACTGTACCATTAGAGCCCTTTCCATCCTAAGTAGCCTTACGTGCAGTACCTTTTTTATTGAATGCTTTTTGGAAACCCAGATTTGTTACATCTAGGCTTGTTCTCTCAACAAAGAGCTCATTACAGCCCACTTAAAAAAAAATAAATGGACAAAAGAGCTAAGCCCTTGACGTCGAGGCCACGTAGGTGTGTTTGTGTCTGTGTGCGTGCGATCAGAATGCAGTGACCTTGTTGAAATGTGACCTCGTTGAAATACCGAAGATTCTGCTTGTCTTGACAGGATGGATGCTGAGAGATTGGTTTTAGATTCTCCCACAAATGTAAAGGGTTATCTATTTGAGACAAATGAGTCATTTCTTCACTGAGGATAGTGGATCTGTGGATTTCTTTACTGCAGATAGTTGTCAAGGCTGAGTTAAGTATATTTAAAGCTGAGAGTTTTTTTATCAGACAAGGAAATGAAGATGATTAGATGTGCCATGATCTCATTGAATGGTAGAGTGGACTCGATGGGCCAAATGGCCTACTTCTACTCTTAGATTTATAGTCATGCATGAGGCACTTTGACACTAAAAAACACTAACGTATGCAACATTGAAGGGAGTGCTGATTTGTTGGGACATAGTTGACTTGGTGATGCAGCAGATACAGTAACAGTCAATCTCAGTTCTAAGATCAAGATGGTAGACTCTGATTTTGTCAGGGCATTGTTGCAAATTTTTTTTCTAAAATTTGATGAATGTGGATTAATTTTGCCTACATAAAACAAGGTCCTTTTGTATTAACATCTATGTGGCTTCTGGTGTGTATAGATGCATCTCGCTCTAAACTCCACTGACAATTGTTGGTTTCAGGTGTAATTCTTAGCACAATCTGGATTGTTTAATAAATGTTGTTCAGCGGCAGAATTAGATCTGATGTTGGCCATTGTGTTCTGAGGCTTTCATGCACGGGCTAGTTGTGAATGATTGGTGTACTGGACATGTCCAATGAGATGTGTTGTTTGATATAGTCTACCAATTGTTGGGATGTACAACCTGCATATCTGACACCTCATGGCACTGAATTTCACATATGACATTAAACATTTTTGTGGTAGACAAAATGCCTTTTTTTTTTTTTTGTTCCTGTTGAACACACAGTTCGTGGCCCATGGTGGCTGTATTTTGATCTTTTAAAGTGCTATCTAATTAGCTGTTTTTCTGGTTTTTTTTTTTCCCCTGATCATGCAGGCTTTTTCATTTTTTAGTGTATATAAAATTCTCACTTAAAAGTTACTACTATTATATGTGAAAAGTCTAGTCTCCTTCTGGTTCTTTTGAAAATTACAGTACCATAAATCTGTCTTGCATGTATGAAACAGTTGCTAATGGAAATAGTTTATTTATTTACTGTACCCTGTTGATGATAAATCTAGCTACAAAAACAACCCAGTTTCTCTAGTCTCTTTGTAATTCAAGTTTCTCATCTGTTCTAACATTCTAGTAAATCTCCTGAGTTCTCTGCAAGGCCCTCTTATACTTCCTAAAGAGGTTCCCATGATCCAGACTGCTTGGTATACTTAGTTTGCTGCAGTCCTCCTCGCTATTTATCATATTTGCAAGTTTTGTGACCATTGCAAACTTTGAAATGTACCCACATAATCTGATTTATTAATTTGTGTTAATCAGAGCTGTTGTCCTAATGCCAAGACGGTGAGAGTACAATGATTTATACTTCTCTCTAATCTTAAAAGCCACGCTCACCACTGCACTGGTCTGTGTTTTCTGTCTCTTGGTCAGTTCTGTGTATGCGCTGTCCCTTCCCCTATAGGTTTCCCCATGGGTTTGCATTTTTCTAACTAGTCCACATGCAGCTTGAATTTTCATTTGTGCTAATTTCTTTTGAGTTGAACATTAGGTGATGTTGCAGCACTGCTGATGGTATTTAATATCACTGGGACTGAAACATGTTTGGTTTACTCGAAAGTATCTGGAGAACAGTGTTACAATTTTCAACTATTGGAATATTTTGTTGACAGTGGCGGTATCAAATGCGATCCTGTAATCTGTTTAAACTGGATAAGTAGTCATTCCAGAAATTGACACTAAATTTGGGTGTAATGAGGTGCTATGATGGTAATTAGGGGAGGGTTTGATATGACAGTGATGTGTTTAGGTACCGCATTTTTGAGAACACTAGCTATTATTGGCCTTTGGGTACTAAAGGGCTGAAGTGTTAGAAATATTGGGCAGCACCAAGGAACTGATTAAAATAGAAAGTATACCTTGGTTGAGGAATGTTGGATTCCCATGGTAGTTAAAATCCTGGCCCTTTTTTTAACTGGGAATCTAGATGCCCCAAAGAATACAAATCTCTAGTGAATTGAGATCTAGAGAGGAGGCAATGGCCTACTGGTGTTATTGCTAGACTATTAATCCAGCGATCCAGGTAATGTTCTGGGGACCCAGCTTTGAATCCTGCTACGGCAGATGATGAATTCAATACATATCTAGAATTGAGACTCTATGATCAGGAAACCATCTGGTTCACTAATGCCCTTCAGAGAAGGAAATCTGCCATCGTCCCCTGGTCTGGCCCCTTTATGACTCTGGACCCACACAATATGGTTGACTCTTAACTGTCCTCAGAAATGGCCTAGCAAGCCACTCAGTTGTATCAATCGCTACGAAGTCTCATTAAGGGCAACTAGGGACAAGCAGTAAATGCTGACCAGCCAGAGATGCACATGACTCCTGTGGGAATAAAACAAATATGAAGATTAATGTACCAGATTTATAAACATAAAGAGTTTGAAATGGAAATCTTGTCCAGGTGAAAGAATCAAATTTTGTGAAATGAAATACTTTGCTAAAGTAAAATTTATCAGTCTTGTGTAGAGTGGATTTATCTGTACTTTGCCTCAGCAATTCCCTCTCAATCCCAGTTTCAGAAGAGTACCCTTATTAGACAAAGTGTCAGTTTTTCCTTTCTTCCTATATAGAATCTAACCACTCTTTTTGTTTATTGTGTGAGTGCAATATTCTGGAAAACTCTTTACTACAGGCCTGTTTTTGTTTTTTTTTTTAGCAGTTAGTTTAAAACTATCCCATTTCTTATGGGACAAATTTGTTGATGACTGCTCCAGAATTGGAGACTTCAGGTATTAATTCCAAGTATTCTGGAGAAATTTCCATGTAGAAGTGTGTTTATATGACTTGTGCACTTATCAATAAAATAATAACTTTTTACAAATTCTTCTAGGTTTTGTAAAAGGCATCGGTTTGCAACAAGTTCAAATATTCCTTCTGTTCCTAATGAACTGATGATGATGTCAGAACATATCCTCCCTCGTGTTATCCTCCATCTTATTCAGCATTTACGGGACGGCTATAATGAACCAGGTATGGCCACTGTTATTTTTAAACCTGTAACTATCCATTCTGCAGTTGGGTTAAAAGTGAAGAGTAAGCACTCAAAGTAGATTATACTGTGTAGTCACCTAGTTTAGATAGGATGCAAACTAGGCAAGTAAGGGTAGAAATTGCAGAGGCTCTGGCCGTGGTGTTCCAAACTCAAATGTGAATGTGGTGCTTGAGGACTGGCAATGACAAATATTCGAACTTGGAGGATGAGGCCTGTTAGTCTAACGTTAATAGTGAAGATACTTTTAGGGATTTTAATCTGTGACAAGATTAATGGTGTTTAAGCAATTACAGACTAACAAATCCATTCTATTTTTCATTTATTAACGTTAAATTGTGTTTGACTAATTTTAGGTGAATTATTTGAAATAGTGGGGAGCGTTGATGTGGGTAGTGCAATTGAAATATATGTAGAATTTGAGGTTGGTTGGCTCGCCGAGCTGGTTTCTTGTTTCAGACATATCATTACCATGCTTGGTAACATCCTCGGTGCAGCCTCCAATGAAGCGTCGGTATGTTCTCCTGCCTGGTTTTTAAACTCTGGGGTCCGTTGAGATGGATTGCCTCACTTCCAGTTTTCCTTCGTAGTGGAATGTATTTGGGGTCGAGTTCAATGTGTTTATTAATAGCATGCTTCGTGGAGTGCCATGCTTCTGGGAATTCTCGTGCCTGTCTCTGCCTAGCCTGTCCCAGGATCTTGGTGTTGTCCCAGTCGAAGTGGTGGTTCTCCTTGTCCATGTGGATTGAGGTGAGTGAGTATTGGTCATGTCATTAAGTCATTCTTAGTCCTAAGGGACTGCCTAAGAGGAAAAAGGTAGAATAAGGTGAGAGCTTATTTTTCAAGAAGACAATTGGATTGTTTAACTTTATAAATAGAGACAAAACTTGCAAAAGGAAGGAAAGTTTGTTCAAGGAGGTGTTATGACTGGGACAGAGAAATGGGTTAAAAATTAAGCAGTTATCTGGAATTAGAAATGTACTCCCTTTTCAATTGCCTTTTAAACCTAACACACAGGACTACTCTGCGGAGATGATTTTTCTAAAAAAAAAAAAAGGGGCTGAAAAATACCCGCCCTTTATCAGCCAATGGTCTGAACACAGAATTTGCTGAACTTTCTTAGTCCACTGGGTTACAAGCTGATGAGCAGTTGTTTGCTGACAGGCATAGATTAATGGAAGAACTTGCAGGCAAGTTTTTCATTTGGATTGAAATCAGGCTGGTTCCAAGATTTTGGAAAGTGATCACAGTTCTGTATTTTGGCGTTTTACAGGACAGTCGTGATACTGTGATGTGGAAAATTTGTCAAGTTCCCAAATATTTCAACCAAGAGAGAATTTCAGGAGAAAGTATTGTCTTTATTGCAAGCTTTGGATGATTTTCCATTCCAACTTCATAGGCTTTTGAAGCAGGATCCAAGACCAGAAAGATTTGCTAAGCAACAGTCTTTAGGTCTGCTCTAGTGCCAGGTTTTCCAGTAAATAAGGACAAGAAACTCCATTACCTTCTTTGGCTGAATATTCCAAAGTCACTTGACTTTCTGTTTTGGGCAGGTGCCTTACAGCCTACATTATTTTGTTTACCTCATACCTTGGTAACATCGCTGATTTAATCCAGAAAGTGTCCAAATAATTCAATATCTTTTGAATGTCCATAAATATAAATACGTACTTCCAACAGAGAGGTTTTATTCAAATTATAGAACATAGCTGAGTTTGATGCTTTGGGAAGAATATTTAGGCTTTGGATTACATGTTTTCAAAACAACTTATGAAATTAGTATCAGTGGGTGACATTGGCTATGTAGATAAGTTGGGATTGTTCTCCTTGGAGCAGAGATGGTTGTGAGGAAACTTGAGGGAAGGATTCAAAGTTAATAACCCCCTCCCTTTATTTAATGTATAAAAAATTGTTTCTGCTGGAAGAAGGGTCAGCAAGGAGTGCATATTGGGGAAAGAGCCATATGTGACTTTTTTAAAATTCTAGTGAGAGATTGTGATAAGGAATACACTAAAAGTGTAATGGAAACACATTTTATTGATAAACTTTCAAAAATGAATTGGATAAATACTTGGGGGGAAAATGTGCTGGGCTGTGACGAAAGACCTTGAGTGGGATTAAATGGATAGCTGTTTAAAAGAACTAGCGTGAGCACAATGGGCAGAACACCTTCTGTTTTATATCACTCTATGATTTGCACTACACAAGAGAAGGTGGTGGCATGGTGCTGTTAGGCTGGTTGTGCAGAGGTGCAGACTAGTACTCTAGGGACACTGGTTCAAACCAGCTGGTGGAATTTTAAATGCAATCAGCAGGTCTATTGTATAAAGCTAATCTCAGTAATGGTGCTGTGAAATTGCTATTAATTGTCATAAAATCCCTTCTCATTCTTTTAAGTTTTTAAATGAAGGAAATCTGCCATCCTTACCTAGTCTGGTCTATGTACAACTCCATGTTTTACACCAACACGATTCACTCTTCGCTGTCTGAAATGTCATTGCCAGTGATGTTCATATCCCATGAAAGAATAAAGCAGAGAGGAGAAGAAATGGACTGGAATTCAGTCGTCTGCTTTGTATTATCCAAAGTAGAATATTTAGTATGGTGACGTTTGTCCCTTCTGTTCATAAAGTTTTTTTGTTTGGAAAATAAAAGGAGTAAAAATGAAGTCACTTTGATTTCTGAGCCTGTTCCACCATTCAACATAACTGTGGCTACTCCACCTTTTTCTGCACTATCTCCATATTTCTTACTTTCCTTATTATGCAGAAATCTTTGTCTCTGTCTTGAATATACAACTGTGTATCCATGCCATCTGAAATAATATATATGGGCTATAAACTGTGGAGAAAAAACTTAAGGATGACTTAGAATATAGTTTTATTTTTAAAAAAGTCATAGGAACATAATAAGTTTATATAAACATTGCTTCTCTTAATTGCTCAAGACGTTCACAATGTTCTGGAAGAATTTCCATATAGCAGTAAAGATTAAGATTACATGTAGCACAGTGTACTGTGTTGTGGTCACAGTTATCATCCCTAGTTTGTACCGAATTAACTCAGCTTTGTTATATACTGCCATTACCCTTCATTTTTTGGGCTATGCAGGAGAAAAATAAGCTATTCAAAGATTGTCATTTTATATTTTTAATTATGGACTCGAATGGGGAAACAACTATTTTTAAAAGCCAAGGATTGCTGCACTCTATAATAGCAAATAACCTGACACTCATTGTAATTACTGTTTACACAGCTGTTTGTTCATGCAGTTGTGCAAATCTGGAAATAGACAAGCTGGATCCAGGTGGCTGCGTACAAATGGATATTTGGTGGGCAACAAGTAGCTGATTGGTCTGTGGACTAGTGACCAATTATTGATGACAAAGGCTTCCTGCCTGTTAATAATGTGATTGTTCAGCTCACTGGGAGCCAATGTATGGGTGTGAATGAAGAAACCATCAGATGTTTGCTAGTTAAAATAAAACACTTTAGGCCTGAAGAAGCCAATTTACTTTTCCCTCCATTGTTGTAAACTGTGTCTCTTAACCAGTAAACCAGAGACTTTATGAATCAACTACCTATACCGTCTGCATGCAAGTGAAAGTAATCAGAAGAAAGAAAATCCAGGAACAGCACATCTTGATAAGCCAAAGCGACCAACTCATTGAACCCTGTGAACAGGGACCATTGAACTGCATTTCCAGTTTTTTTTCCCCCTCCCATCACAACCCTGTTCTTTTTTTTTTCCCTGCCTCCTATGTAAATAGAGAGAAGCTTAGGTACTTTAGGGATTTCTGCATATTTCTAAAAAAATTGTAACTTTTGTGACAACTTGGGTAATAGTGGGGCTTGATTTCCAGCATGTTACCCCAATGAAATCAGCAGGAAGCTTAGCTGTTATATTTATCAGATGCTTTTAAATTATGTTTCGACATAGTGTGAGCCTCAGTAGTTGAATACCCTGTGAATATTTGGTGTCCAGGCTCATATGAAAATGATCACCTGTAAAGTTCTAAAGAGTGATGTCTGTAATATCAAATGCCTCTTGGTCGATGGTGTGGCAAAAAATGATCAGTCTTCAGTTTGCAATGTCATCTAGGGAAAGACCTACATTCAAGCCTATGCAAAGGACTCTCCCTGTCTCCCAAATGAGCTCAGCCAGGTGAGTGAAGTTTCAGTGGGAGAGCATTTTGGGAGTAGTGACCATAGTACAGTGAGTTTTAAGATACTTGTGGATAGGGATAACAGCAGTCCTTGGGTGAAGGTGTTAAATTCGGAAGGCAAACTACAACAATATTAGGCAGGAACTGAAGAAATTTGATTGGAGGCAGCTGTTTCAAAGTAAATCTACATCGGACATGTGGCAATATTTCAAGTGGCAGTTGATGAGAGTTCAGGAGAGGCACGTTCCTGTGAGAATGAAGAATAGGTATGGCAGGTTATGAACCTTGCATGACCAGGGATGATATGACCTTGGTCAGAAAGGAAACAGAAGCATACTTAAGATCTAGAAGAATAGGAACTGATGAAGTGCTTGGAGTATATAAAGAAAGTAGGAAAGAACTTCTACAAGGAAGTAGAAGGGCTAAAAGGTCATGAAAAGTCATTAGCCAACAGCATTAAGGAGAATCCTAAGGCTTTTTATACGTGAATGCATAAAAAGCATGAGGGTAGCCAAAGAAAGGGTTGGCCCAATTAAGGACAAAAGAGGGAATCTGTGTGGAACCAGAAGAGGTAGGTGAGGTCCTAAATGAATACTTTCTTTGGTGAATACTGACAGGGGAATTGGTGGAGGATGATCAGGGAAGGGAGTTTTGGATTTCTAAGCCAAGTTGCTATTAAAAAGGAAGAGGTGTTGTGCATCTTAAAAAGTATCAAAGTTGATAAGTCCCCCTGCCCTGATGGGATCTATCCCAGAATATTGAGGGATGCAAGAGAACAAATCGCTGGAGTGTTGACAGATGTCTTTGATTGTTTTT